GTATTTTGCAAAGGAAATTTATATATACTATTTCAGCTCATATTTTTCAGTTCATACAAGACTGTATAAAATCAGTGTAATTGTTATTCCCACTTTTCAGTTATGAAAGATTTTATATAACCAGCTTGAAAGTTTCAAGTCTGAATGAATTAACCTTTCAATGATGATTATTTGAACTGTTTTGCATCATGTTCCTTTGAGAATATGTTACAAGCTGTGATCAAGGTAGGTATGATATTACCCTGCAGAAACTGAATAAATTCATAGAACACCAACATCTGAGGAGGGCTCTCCATGATTTGGCAAAACAAGACAAAAACAAGATCACCCTATATAATCTTGCCTAAAAGGAAGTTCAGCAAGGGGAAAGAGAGATACACTGTGCAATCTCAAAAACAACCAAGACAGTCCTCTCACAGCTAAAAGGAGACCCAGCTGCTTCTTTTCTGTTTCCTTAGGTTCCTAGATAAAAGTTAAGATACTCAATATCCAAACTGTCCGTTTTCTCACAGCATCTATTCTAGAACAGATTTTCTTGAACTTCCCTATAATCACCTTAGCCAAGCTTGAATCCTGTAATAAGCCTCTCTCCAACTCCCTCTTCATGAGGCTCCCACTGCTTCCCCAAGGTATGGATCTCTCTTGCTGATGTAATAAGACTATTCTTGACTGCAGTTGCCTTTCTGGTGACATCTAGCTTGTGAGAATCAACAATAAAATACTTACAATATATTATTCATAAGAGCATATATAAAGCTATATTTATATTCTGACTTTTCTATGGTTTGGATGTTGACTCTCACCCAAAGGTCCATGTTAAAGGCTTGGTCCCTAGCGGGAGGTGTTAGGAGGACCTGTGGACCTTTAGGAGGTGGGTCCTATGGGACGTCCTTAGGCCATTGAAAGTATGCCTTGAGGGACTGTGGGACCCCACTGGTCCTAGCTTTGTGCTTCCTGACTTGAGACCTAAGTAGACCGCTTCACCATATGCTCCTACCTTGATGACCCACTATGATCAGAGGCCCAAAGCAATGGAGCTATCCAGTCCTGGTCTTGAATCAACCCTTCTACACTGTTGGTGGGAATATAAACTAGTACAACCACTATGGAAGTCAGTGTGGACATTCCTCAAAAACCGAAAACTAGAAATACCTTTTGACCCTTCTATTCCCTTTACATATCTTCCCCAAAAGAGTTAAAGACATCATATTGCAGTGATACATACACATCCATGTTTATAGCAGCAAAATTTATAACAGCTAAAACTTGGAAGCAGCCTAAAGAATGATGCAATACTCCACTGTGTAAATACATTTTCTTTACCCATTTATCTGTTCTCATTTTTTAAAGTATGTATATATGTATAGAAGAATTACTTGATACAAGGCAACAGATACATACTAAAGGTAAAGAAACACACTGTAAAGAGTAGTTATCTTTAAATGTTGGTAATACAGTAGCTCCTTTTTTCCTTTTCTGTATTTCATATTTTCATTAAAAGTGTACACAAAATTTTATAAGAAGAAAAGGAGAAAGAGGAGTAAAAAGAAAACCTTCCTCCCAGAAGAACATCTTATGAGGAAGAAATCTGTTTCAAATTGTTTTCAATCAACTAAGGCTTTCCAACTTTAGCACACTGGAATCATTTAGGATGCTCACTGAAGACAGATCCCATCCCGGGACTTTATCCCTGGCGTGAGCCCCAGGAATGTATGAATAACCTTAAGAAATGTGGTCTTTGGAACAACTAGGACTTGAAGGATGTACAGACTTAGGGGGAGGGAGAAAGACTCACTGGGCTAAAGGAAAGGCAGGAGAAGCCCCAAATCATGCAACTGTGTGTGCTGAGGTGATGGAGAGTGAGTGGTGTGAGGCACACTGGGCTTTGGTGAACCTGATAGAACCAACCTGGGAAGGCAAGGTAGGCGCAGGACTTTCACTAAAGCATCACATCCACATTTCTGACATCAATCAGCCAATTCATCGATTTCTTCAATTGGTATAAAAGTGCTTTTCAGGAAGCAAGTATAACTTTTCTTTCAACAATTCCACTAGCAATTTTCATTTCTGACCCCACAAAATCTTTTCTACCTCCAAGGATCTCATTCTACCTCCTAGAAACTCATCCTCATCTTTGCCTATACTGCCAGCCATCTAAAAACCTACCACCAGCAAACTCAGAAACATAGACAACAAAATTAAGTTGAAAGTCCCTACTGGGCGTCTATATGATTCAGACTTTAAAATTCTTTCAAGAAAAAAGTAAAAATGGAAACTCAACATAACAAAACCTATGGGCTACAGCAAAAGCAGTACTACAAGGGAAATTTATAGAAATCGATCCCTCCTATCAAACAAAGCAGAAGGATCTCAAATGAACAACCTGTTACTGCATCTTAAGGAACTAGAAAAATGAGAACTAAACCCAAAACTTGTAGAAGAATAATAAAGATCAGACCAGAAATAAATGAAATAGACTAAAAATACAGTATGAAAGATTGATGAAAGAACTATTTCTTCAAAAAGATAAAATTGACAAACCATTAGCTAGAATAGTGAAGAAAACGACTAATAAATCAGATGACTGCAAATTGCTAGTTCAGCTGTTTTTCAACAAATGCTGAGTACATAAAGGCTTACTGGAAAAACTGGGTATCCACATGCAGAACCATGAATCTAAACCACCTTTCTCACTAATTACAAAAAACAACTCAAAACAAATGGAAGACTTAGATGTAAGGTCTGAAACTATGAAACTACTAGAAGAAAACATAGAAGATGTGCTGCCTTCCACTGGAATAGGCAAGGAGTTTTTGGACAAATTAACCTCTGACAAGGTGTTATTCAGAATATGTAAGGAACTCGGAAAACTCAATAGCAAAAATTTAAAAATGGGCACTAGATCTAAATAGATATTTTTCAAGAGGAGACATATAAATGGCCAAAAGTTATATGAAAAAGTCCCACCCCATTAGTCACTAGGGAAATGCAAATCACAGGGTGAGATACAACTTCACCTTAGTAAGAATGGTTATTATCAAAAAGATAAAAGGGCCGGGGATTTAGCTCAGTGGTTTCGCCACCTGCTGCGCAAGTGCAAGGACCAGAGTTCAATCCCCGGTACCAAAAAAAAAAAAAGATAAAAGATTGCAAGTGCTGGCAAGGATGTGAAGAAAAGGAAATCCTTGTACATTATTGGTGGGAATGTAAATTAGGAGAGCATTATGAAAATGGTAGGTAAGTCCTCAAAACATTAAAGATAGAACTATCACATGATCCAGCCACCCAGTTACTGGGTATACACCAAAGGAAAGAAAACCAGTATGTCAAAGAGGTATCTGCACTCCTGTGCTCACTGCAGTCAAGAGGTGGAAATATTTGTCTATCATTTGATGAATGGATACAGAAAATGTAGTACATATACACAATGGAATACTATTCAGTCATAACTACATTTGTGTAACAGAACATGACATCTCTAGAAAGAGTAAATTCTTAATGCTAAGGGACTGCTCTTCTGGTGTTTGGTTTGCATTTCCTTTATCATTGACCTTCATTTCCTTGGAGATTTTTGGTTCTTGATACTGAATTACTATTTTAATAAGTTTAGATAAAAACAGGAAATTTTTATCATGATACTATTATTCCCAGTCTTTTATACCTATTTAATATCAGATAGTATTTGTCTCTATTAATAAAAATATTCACTGCCAACTGAAAGTCAATGGTTTGCACAAAAACCACTTACTGTCATCTGCTTTCAGTCATAAAACATTTAGGGGAATTTTCCAGCTAAAATGTAATTTATTTTCCTTCTGAAGTGTGTTTTTGTGTTTTGGGGCAAGCAAGGTATGAACCAGTTCTCACCAGTAAAATAAGTGCTAATTCTTCAAAGCCTCTTTCATCTGTAAAGTTCTTTTACTTTGTATTTATAAGCAAAAGCCCAAATTATTCATTTTTAATATAAATATAAATACATCCTTTTGAATGGTTCAAGGTAGTAGCACTTTTCTATTGAAAATTTCCAAACAAGTGAAAGGTCGGATTGCACGCTGGGAAATCCCAGATTTTGTTTTTTTTAAAGTTGGTAACTTACAATATTGAAAGATAGTGAATTATTTAACTTTAATTTTTAATGGATAGCTAAGAATATAAAAACTACATATTAAGGGAGTACCATGTGATTTTCAATACATGTATATGTTGTATAATATTTAAGTCAGGCTAAACATGTCTGTTTCATTTACCACTTCTTTATGGTGAAAATATTTAAAATCGCTCCCCTTAAGTCTCCACAATTAGCGACCCCTCCCCTCAGCAAAGGGAGAAAATTCTGCTGTGTAAAAGATGCAGCTGCCTCGGTAAACGCCCCCACTAAAAGCCTACTTAACTACAACTGCCTTGAGTGAAGTGGTGTTTTGGAGAAATCAAGAGATGCAGGCTGTATCTGCACAACATGAATCTGCATAAGGTGATCAAAAGGGAACAGCTACAAGACACGAAATACATGAGAAGGGCATACCCCAGGGACAGCAGGAAGGAGAAGAAAACAAGAGACTGGATTCGTTTTTATTTACAAATCCGGAGGCAGAGTGACCCAGAAGGGTAAAAGGTAGGCCGAGCAGCCGCACCTGGCTGCATGCTGCCAGCTCCTTAGAATCAGGAGTCTTCCCTTAGGAGAGATATCCAGATACAAGTGTTCCACGCGCCTTACAAAATCAGAGAAGAGGAAACTTTTAAGTTACATAAAACTACCATAGAGTTATACTTTACCCAAAACAGTCAACCAAAACTGACAGAAAGGGACTGTGTCGCTCGAAAGCTATGTGGGTGCGGGCGTTAGGCGGAGGGGTCCACCTTTGAGAAAACAAATGTTCATTAAACTCACTTACAACCTCAGCGTAAAGAAATCAAAGAATTTCCATCACTCCGGACAGCGGAGGGCTGCAACTGTGCAGTCTGAAGGCATGCCAGTCAAAGAAAAGGTTTGCAATCCACACCTGCTCTCTGCTCTGGGTGCTCAGCCCGATCTCCTTGCGCAGCTCCAAGAATCCACAGCAGTGCTGCCCAGTGAAGACCCCTGACTGGACTGCGCTTCTGTGGCTAAAGGAAGGAAGATACGGTTGGGTTCACACATTAAACAAAAAACAAAAAAAAACTAAGACTTTTCTAATTTTCAAAGAGAAGGAGGAGGAGGAAAGAAGAGAAAAGCAAAAAAAGGAAAAGAGCAAACAACAGCCGAGACGGCGGCCCCCAGTAACAGCTGAGGGCAGAGGGCTTCGCAGGGTTGCAGGGACCCAAGCGGCGCCCGCAGCTCGCCTGAGCCCCGGCCGTCGGTTGGGCGAAGGCTCGGTCTGCAGGGACCGCCCAGGAGGGACGCCCACCCGGCCGCTCGCTCCTACCCCCGCACGGCGTGCGCTCCGCGGCCGGCACGCGAGGGAGCCGCAGTGTCCGGGAGGCGCAGGTGCAGCGCCGGCGTTGGGAAACACTCTCCACGTGTGCTCGCCCCCGGCGCCGCTTTCCTCCTCACAAGCCAGCCGCGTTGCGAGGTTGATTCCCGCCGGGAGAGGAGAAAACCTGGCCCGCAGAGCCGGGCCACCGTGAGAAACGCCAACACACGGCCAGACTACAGCGCCTCCTGCCGGCCATGGAACCGCCCCGCATCCCGAAGCGGCCGAGCCCGGAACCCCGCCTACGCCGCTCGCAGGCCCCGCCCCACAGAGCAAGCCCTGCCCCAAACCCCGACCCCGCCACTCGCGTAGCCCTGCCCTGCTGCTCGCGCAGCCCCGCCCCCTCGCCGGCCCAATGCGCCTGCGGGGGGCGCGCGCGTGCTCGCTAATCCCCCGCCTTCCGGCTCCGGCGCGACGCGCGCCCGTCGCTGCTGCCGCCGCGCCACCAGTGTCAGCGTCCCTGGGGAGACTCCATTTGCTCTCGGTGCTGTCTGGCCGCCGTGCTGCCAGGCGGGGAGCGATGCTCGTGGCTGGTGGACCCGCTTCCCCTGCGCCCAGCGGCCGCTCGCTGGCTGTCGGGCTGCGGCGGTGACACCCAGGTCGCCGGCGTCCGGGCGGAACCCGCGCTCCGTCGCGGGAGGAAAAGCAGCCCGCGCTCCGCCTCTCGCCCGGTGGGGAGGCCCTCGCTCGCTCGTGCGGCTTCTCCCTGACCTCTTAATTTGAGGAGGTAGGCGATCCAGGTCCCCTTCGATACCCAGATGATGCCTAGGGGCATTATTTGTAGTGTTTAGCGTCACAGTTGGTTGGAGGCGTTAATTTTCTCAACATAGTTGCAGAGTAGGTGTGGGTAATGCCACCGACACTAATGCTGAAAATAAAATGTTTTTGGTATTTTTCTTTAGGTTTCAGAAGCTCCAAGTACCTATACAGCCCCACAGGAACTACTTTTGTTGGACCCTGGACGATCAGCTTTCACCAGGATTATTGTAACATCTTCACCGCGCCTTCACCCATAGGCTCTACCTTGGGTCTGATTTCCACCAATGAAGTTTTTGGTGCTTTCTTTAATCATGTAACACCACCCCTTGCCCACCTTTCTCCTTTCCAGTGGTCAGATCCATTAGGTATAAGTTCGTGTTGAGTTCAAGGACAGAGATTCCTGCCTGTCCACTTTCACCTTTGCACCTCTCACTTCTGTGCAGCTCGTCTTGACTTGCTTGCTATGCTTTTCCTAAGCGCTTCCCTGTGCAACCTGTACGGGTCCTTTGCTTAAGAGAGACAGCATTCGTTACAGTTCACTGCCTGACAAAAACAACATTAGGAATAAGTTTTCTCACATTTTCTTGTACGTCAAGTTTGCAAGTCTTTTCCTTGATTTAAACTGTTTTTGTGCACATGTCCCAAAATAACCTGAATCAGTGGCTTTACAAAGAACCTTACCTGCACTGATGGCAGATTTGAGTATGCAGTAAGGACCCTTTTAGAGATCTTAGTAATGTAGTATTGGTTCACTTTCCAGCCTTTCATAAGATTACAAGTTATGCAAACACTGTGAGGAAGAAAGAAAGATGGAGTTAACTGGAGCTATTCCTTATTGTAGGAACTGTAAGTTAAAGTCCAAATGAAGAGACTCTTTTAGACTTTGTCTGGAAATTTGGCCATCACACTAGGTCCTAGGCCACAGACAAGTGATCTTAAGATTCCATTTTCTGGTCTCTCTATTCAAATCTTAAGTTGGTAATTATCTTGTAGTAATCACCTGAAATATTAGATGCTTAAAATGTTGGGGAAACGTAAGCGTGTGGTATTGACGATTAAAGACAAACTTGACATTATTAAGAAACTTGAGGAAGGCATCTCTTTCAAAAAACTTTCCGTAGTATATGGGATTGGTGAGTCCACAGTTCGGGATATTAAAAAGAACAAAGAAAGAATTATAAACTATGCAAACAGTTCGGATCCCACGAGTGGGGTGTCCAAACGTAAATCTATGAAGTCGTCAACCTATGAGGAACTTGATAGAGTGATGATAGAATGGTTTAACCAACAGAAGACAGATGGGGTCCCAGTGTCTGGAACTATTTGTGCAAAACAAGCCAAGTTCTTTTTTGATGCTTTGGGGATGGAAGGTGATTTTAATGCATCATCTGGCTGGCTAACTCGATTCAAACAGCGCCATGGTATCCCAAAGGCTGCTGGTAAAGGAACAAAATTAAAAGGAGATGAAACTGCTGCCAGTGAATTTTGTGGTAACTTTCAGGAATTTGTTGAGAGAGAGAATCTACAACCAGAGCAAATTTATGGTGCTGATCAAACTGGGTTGTTTTGGAAATGTCTACCATCGAGGACATTAGTTCTTGACACTGAGCGAAATACTTCAGAGTATAGGTCAAGCAGAGAGAGAATCATTATAATGTGTTGTGCAAATGCCACAGGGTTACACAAACTTAATCTTTGTGTTGTGGGGAAAGCAAAAAAACCCCGTGCATTCAAAGGAACTGACCTTTCAAGTCTTCCTGTCACTTATTTCAGTCAAAAAGGTGCATGGATGGAACAGTCTGTTTTCAGACAGTGGTTTGATAAATATTTTGTGCCACAGGTACAGAAGCATTTGAGATCCAAGGGTCTTCTAGAAAAAGCAGTGCTTCTTTTAGATTTTCCCCCAGCACATCCAAATGAAGAACTGTTGAGTTCAGATGATGGCAGAATAATTGTGAAGTATTTGCCAGCAAATGTCACAAGTCTAATTCAACCAATGAGCCAGGGAGTTTTAGCCACAGTAAAAAGATACTACCGAGCAGGACTTCTCCAGAAGTATTTGGATGAAGGAATTGACCCAAAAATGTTTTGGAAGAACTTGACAGTGTTGGATGCAATTTATGAGGTATCCAGGGCTTGGAACATGATAAAAACAAGTACCATAACCAAAGCATGGAGAAAACTTTTCCCTGGCAATGGAGAAAATTCAGTTATGAACATTGATGAAGGAGCCATTTTAGCCGCTAATTTAGCAACGGTTTTACAGAATACAGAAAACTGTGAACATGTTGACATTGAGAATATTGATCAGTGGTTTGACTCTCGGAGTAACGACTCAAGCTGTCAGGTGCTGACGGATAGTGAAGGTGCTGAGGACCGTGCCACAGCTGCTGAGCAGAAGCCTTACAGTAAGACTAGAAAAGCAGAACTGAACCCTGAGAAGCATGTTAGCCATAAAGCTGCACTTGAATGGACTGAAAATTTACTGAGTTATCTAGAACAACAAGATGACATGCTTCTGTCTGATAAATTGGTATTACGGAGACTTCGGACCATAATAAGAAGAAAACAAAAGATCCAAAATAGCAAAAATCATTCATAGTGCTCTCAAATATTTCAGTGTGTTTTCATCTTTGTGACTGTTTATCTGCAGTGGAACTTACCTTCTTTGAAGTGCTGTGGATTCTAAGACCAAATACATTTTATAAATGATTTTAGGACTAGATGCAATTTTGGATCACCTGAATCACAGCTCTTTAATGTTGACGCTGGTAACTGAGCATTATCATGTAACTTGTCTACTGTTTTTAATCTGTATTATACTAACTAGATTATAAAGTACCTAAGGCCAGAGATCTCTGTTTTGTGCCTGAATTTCAGTGTGTCTAATAAAAGTCCATGCACATTATAGACAATAAATTTTACTTAAATTGAATTTTTATGACTTTCTCTGAATTCCAGTTTCCAAATTAACTGTGTTATGATAAATTTGCATTTTCGCTGCTAAAACTCTTAGAAGAGCTCAGCAAAAATTGTGCTTGAGGATTATCTCACTGTGGCTGCAGAGAACTGAAGGACAGTACCCTAAAGCCTTAAATGTAGTATTTCTGTACCAGTAGTATTTGGGCACTTAGCAGCTAAGATTGGCCATCTCTGAGAGAAGAGAAGGCCAGGAAAAAAAAAAAAAATTAAAATGCCCCCAGGAAGAGGGTTTGCACTTCATTTTCATTCCATCTGACAGTAGGGAAGCTTCCATCACAGGTGTAGAATAGTGTTCCAGAAAAATAAATTTGCTTTCCCAAACCATTGCAAGTAGGAGAGATAAAGATTAAATTTTATTATCTGTCATTTTGGTTCTTTATAGATATGTCAGTAGTTTTTATCTTTACTAAGCTACTTCAAATTTATATGTCACTGCATTCTGTGCAGTGCTGGGAATATCAGCATACACATAATTTGTGGAATCAGCACATGATCAGTGGATTAACATCTAGAAGAAGAAAGAAGTATTGTAGAAGACCATAACCATGGGCAAGTTACCTAAGCTTCCATGGGATTTGTGAGTTAATATGTGGATTTTAAATAATAAGGGCTTAGAACAGAGTAACGCTCCTGGAGTGTTAATTACTGTTACTGCATTGCAGAAATTATGTTTCAGAAGTAAGCTAAGCAGATCCCGTATGTGACTCAAAGTATTGTTACTGCATCAGGAAAACCCTTGCACAGGAAATGAGAGATGCAAGTAATTAGTTTTGCTGAAGTACAATAATTTATTTAAATAAAAACTAAAGGGTTAATCCAATTTAGAAATCATTTACTGATCACCCAGTAGTAGGTAGAGTGAGATATGTGGGCATATTTAAGACATCATAGGCTAATTATAGTAGGAAATGGGAATGATAATTTCTTTGCTCCAGGCTGTAGCACATTGCTAATAAAATAAATGCTGGCTTTGTTCATAGGAGAAAAGCTATGTGAATATTGGTGTAATTTACTGGAGTAGTAAATTTACCTGCAAATTAGATAGCAGTAAGCAGGGCACTTAGAATATTTTATCAGTTTAAAGTTAACACAGAATCTAGGAAATCAGAGCAGAAGAAAATCACAGGAAACTG